CCCGGCCAGCCGTGCCTGCCGTCTCTCCATAACAGCCTCCTGGCGCCGTGCGGTGGCTGGCAGCTCGGGTGGGTCGGAGAGGGGCGGACGAGGACGAGGGGGAGGAGGAGGAGGAGGGTGAGGAGGAGGAGGAGGAGGAGGAGGAGGAGGAGGAGGAGGAGGAGGAGGAGGAGGAGGAGGAGGAGGAGGAGGAGGAGGAGGAGGAGGAGGAGGAGGAGGCTGCGAAGGATCCTGAGCTCTGATTTTCCCCCCGGTCGTCTGCAGAACGTGGCTTGCGTCCCCCGACAACATCGCGTCGCGAGAAAAGTCACCACCGACAGTTTTTGATATGTTTCGGCCACTAGGAGCACTTACTGGGCCCCAGGACCGTCAAAAACGATTCAGGATACATAGCCAGTGCCAGGGATAAGGTCCAGACCGCTGGGGAGCCGTATTTTGAAACATCAGAAAGAGCGCGTTCTGTGGTCGCTTGGAAGGGGGGGGGGTTTGGAACCGGCCCCCCCCCCCCGGGATCGAGGTGAGGGGGGGGTTCGAACCCCCCCCCCGTGATGGAAGGGGGGGGGTGTTTCGACCCCCGCCCCTTCCCTCCCTCCTCGGGCTGGCGCCTGCGTCGGCGGCGGCTGGCGGCGGCGGCGGGGACGACGATTTCCTTTTCTGGGCCGGCGCCGGCGCCTGCGGCCGCGGGCGGCGGCGGCGGGGAGCGTTGACGAGGACGACGGTGGTGGTGGTGGTGGTGGTGGTGGTGGTGGGTTGTGGTGGTGGTGGTGGCGGTGGTGGTGGTTGTGGTGGTGGTGGTGTATTGGTTTGTTGTGGTGGTGGTGGCTGTGGTGGTGGATGTGGTGGTGGGTGGTGGTGATGGTGGTGGTGGTGGTGGTTTGGTGGTGGTTTGGTGGTGGTGGTTTGGTGGTGGTGCGGTGGTGGTTTGTGGTGGTGGTGGTGGTGGTGGTGGGTTATGGTGGTGGTGGTGGTGGTTTGGTGGTGGTGCGGTGGTGGTTTGTGGTGGTGGTGGAGGTGGGTTGTGGTGGTGGCGGTGGTTTGTGGAGGTGTCACTGGTGGTGGTGGTGGTGGTGGCGGTGGTGGTGGTAGGGGTGGTGTGGTGGTTTGTGGTGGTGGTTGCTTGTGGCTGTAGTGGTGGTGGTTGTGGCGGTGGTGTGGTGGTGGTAGTGGTGGTGGTTGTGGTGGTGGTGGGTGGGTTTGTTGTGTGTGGTGGTGAGTTGTGGTGGTGGTGGTGTGGTGGTGGGTGGTGGCTGTGGTGGTGTGGTGGTTGTGTGGTGGGTTGGTGGTGGTGGTGGTGGGTTGAGGCGGTGGTGGTGGTAGTGGTGGTGGGATAGTGGTGGTAATCGTCGCTGCGTCCCCGCCGTTGCCGGCGCCGGCGCTGGCGTTGGTGGCCGCCGCCAACGCCGTCGCTGGCGCCGGCGCCAGGGGAGGGGGGGGGGGCTTGAATCCCCCCACCCTTCCCCCTGGCTGCCTCTTGTCATCGTCGCTGCGTCCCCGCAGTCGGCGCTGCTGGCGGCCGCCAGCGCCGGCGCCAGCGCCGGCGCCGAGGGCGGGGGGGGTTCAAACCGCCCCCCCCCCCCTGGGAGGGAGGGGGGTTCGGGAGGGGGGGGGTTCGGGGGGGAGGGGGGTCCCCCTGGTTTTGATCGACGGCGCCGAGTGTTGGGGGAGGGCCCACCCCCCAGCTCGAAACGCGCTGCCGAATGTTCCCAAGGCAAGCGCCCGTGAAACGCACTTCCTCAAACATCACTACGTCGGTTTTCTGGGTCAGCGCCACGCACATTTGTATTGCAAGCCAAGTCTGCAACCTGCACACGGATGGAAGGCGAATCGTTGTCAAATGTGGATCTCGCATCAGCGCCGCGCACATTCGTGTTGCCAGTCTCCCACTGCTATGCGCTTGGAGGCTGAGTTATCTGTTTTTTTTCAAACGGTGACTCTGTTTTCAAACTGGCTCTTGCTTGAGCGTCGCGCCCGCTCGTCGTACATATATCCAACAGTTACACTGTCGCAGGCGGTCCAAGCCCGAACTTGTAGCCAGTGCAGCGGTTTCACGGGTGGATGGCGTTTCTTCTTCAACATGTGATTCATTTTTTTGCATTTGCTTGAATGTGAGGGCACGCCACAGTTACACGGACGGGGGGACGATTCTCTTTCAAGGCGGTGTAATCATTTGATTTTTCTTTACATGTTTTCCCTTGTAGCCAGAAACATGGATGGCAGCTTCAGCCGAATTGCCTGGGCAAACTCCACGTGCTATCTGGTCAAGGTTCCGTTTGCCCGCGCTTCCACATGCGCGACGCTCTTCGGCAGGGTTGCGAAGTGCTCCGCCCTCTCGTGCACAGACATTGCCGCAGCTGGTGCAGTCCTCAGGGAGGGGGTAAGGTCGTTGCGTGATCTCTGGCCCCAAACCAAACCTACGGTTCGGTTTAGGATGTCGCTGCGGCGATTGCGGCGGCCACAATTGGGGCAAGGTGTTGTCAAGGAGTGGCGTCGTGCCCCTTCCCAGCCCCCCCGCGCTCTGCGATGTCCACAAGAGTCATAATCAACAATCGTGCGACAGCGAGTTATCAATGCATATATGTCCAACCTTGGCAGTGATGTTTTCCTGCACATCCTAAGGGGGGTTGTTGTTGCTTCTGGACACCCCGCACAGGAACAATAACTCCCCCCCACACACACATGCACACCATCATCATCGTCCCCATCCCCATCCCCATCACTCACTCACCCACTTTGTCCTCCTTCCCTCACACCATCACCACCCTTGCTCACCATCATAATCATTCATTCACTTACGCCCACACAGACACACTCATAATCACCACCATCGCCATCATCGTCCTCACCATCACCATCACCATCACCATCACCATCACCATCACCATCACCATCACCATCATCATCATCATCATCATCATCATCATCATCATCATCATCATCATCATCATCATCATCATCATCATCATAGTCAGCAGCATCATCATCACTATCATCATCATCATCATCATCATCATCATCATCATCATCATCATCATCACCCTTGTTATCAGCATCATCATCAACCCCATCGCCATCATCGTCATCATCAACACCACCTTCATCACCGTCACCATACCATCGTGATCGTCGACAGTCCTCATCATAATCATCATCACCGCACACAAGCATGCAAACTCGCGCACTCACCTTGAGGATGTCTCGAGCGAGATCCTCGTCTGCAGGCGAATCGCGAGGAAGTTTTCGAGAGGGAGCCCCTCCCTATGGGGTCCCCCCCTCGATGTTCGGACCTGACGCTGCCATCGGAAACACTTTTTTCAAAACATAGGCTTGGTCACACCTTGGGGCCTGCATCCCAAGGAAATCTCGAGTGGGAGCTTCGTTCCCGAGCAAGCCGAGAGGATGTTTCGGGCGCTTACTCGTCTGTAGGTGAATCGCGAGGAAGTCTCGTTCGGAAGCCACTCCCTACGGGTCCCCACCTCCATGTTCGAATCCGAGGTGGCCATTGGAAAATAGGATTGAAAAACATGTTTGGTGACACCTGGGGGCTTGAATCCAGAGGAAGTTTTGAGCCGGAGCCCTGTTCCTGAGCAGAGTGAGAGGCTGTCTCGGGCACTGCCTTGTTTGTGAGTGAATGGCACGGCACTCTCGAGCGGGAGCCTTTCCCTACGGGTCCCCACCTCCATGTTCGAACCCGAGACGGCCATCGGAAAACCATGTAGAACCACAGGTTTGGTGACACCCAGGGGCCCTGAACCTCGAGGAAGTCTCGAGCTGGAGCCCCGTTCCCGAGAAAACTGAGAGGATGTCTCGGGCGCTCAGTCGTCTGTGAGCGAACCGCAAGGGAATCTCGAGCGGGAGCCCCTCCCTATGGGTCCCCACCTCCATCCGAGGCGGCCATCGGAAAACCACGTCAAAAGACAGGCTTGGTGACACCTGGGAGCCTGAGCAGTCTCGAGCGGGAGGGAGCACAGTTCCTGAGCAAACTTGGAGGATGTCTCGAGCAGGAGCTCCTTCTTCTCCTCCTCCTCCTCCTCCTCCTCCTCCTCCTCCCTTCTCCTCCTCCTCCTCCTCTTCTTCCTCCTCCTCCTCCTGCCCCCTCCCTATGGGGTCCCCGCCTCCATGCTGGTAATCTGAGGCGGCCATCCGGATACGGGCAGCCCGATCCCGAGGGAGTCGCGAGCGGGAACCTCGCCCCCGAGCAAACGGAGAGGGTGTCTCGTGTCTCCTCGGGCGCTCGCCTGCAAGCGAGTTGCGATGGAGTCTCGAGCGGGAGCCCCTGCCTGTGGGCCCCCCGCTTCGTGCTAACCGTGAGGGCTTCGGCCCCCGCCGCCGGCCCCCTCTCTACCAGAACGAGTACATCAGAGCTGCATCAGGATGTCTTGGCGCCGTCTTGATGGCATGCTGATGCTGACGCCGATGGTGATGGTGACGTAGATCTTGTGAGGGTGCGTGGCTTCGAGGACCCAAGCACGGCGCAATTTGCGAGGGATCGTGGCCTCGGGGACGCGAATGAAACATTTTCAAGGGATTGTGGCCTCGAGGACGCGAATACTGCGTCAATTGAAAGAATCGTGGCCTCGGGCACACAACTATTGCGTAATTGACAAGGGAGCATTGCCTTGGAGATGCGAATACATGGTAATTTACATGAGTTGATCGCTTCGAGGGCGCAAGTGTTCCATTATTCACAAGGGATGGTGGCCTCGAGGGCACGATCATAACATACTCCGAGTTCGTTAATAAGTGTGGGGGGGGGTTTCCCCCCCGACGGGGGTCGACCTCGCCTCGTCGGAGCGCCGCCACGGGGGTTGGAGCGCCTTCGGCGCGCGGCGGTTGTCCGCGACGGGGGTCGACGTGGGGCTGTCGGCACGCTTATTAGGAAACTCGGAGTAGTGGAAGGGGGCTTTTGGCTTCGGGGACGCAGATAAGTGGTGGAGGAGGAGGAGGAGGAGGAGGAGGAGGAGGAGGAGGAGGACACCCCCCCGCCCCCCAGCGTGGGGCAGGCCAAGAAGCAGTTCGACCCAGCCCGGAGCGACCGGGTGCTGGTCCTCGGCGGCAGCGACATGTGGCTCTCGGAGGCCGAGCGGGCTCGCCGCGCGGCAGTCGCCCGCCGTCAGAGGATGAGGAGGCCAGGGGGAGGAGAATTCAGTAGGGGAATAGTCAGGAGGGGAAAAAACACACAGACACAATTAATTGGCGATTCCCAGAATATGGGAAAGTATGGGAAGTGGGGGGGAAGACAAAAACCCAGAAAATATGGTAAAATATGGGGGATATTTTTATTTGTGTGTATTTATTTGTGTGTCCCAATTCCCCTTCAAATAGGGGAACGAAGAATGACACAAACATAAAAAGCTCGAGGTCCGCGCGGATTTTCTCGTATCCGCGTTGGGCCCCCCTGGCGGCGCCTCCGGCGCCGCCGCTGGCGCGCTCCGTGCGCCAGGGAGGGGGGTCCAGCGCGGATCCACGAAATCCGCGCGGACCTCCGAGTTTCTGTGTTTATGTCATTTTTCGTTCCCCTATTCAGAGACACATGAGTGCTAGGAAGTTCGATGATCATGACGACGATGATGTTACTGATGATGACGTCAACGGGCATGCTGCTGCTGACGACGACGACGACGACGACGACGACGACGACGACGATGATGATGATGATGATGATGATGATGATGATGATGATGATGATGATCATGGTGATGATGCTGATGATGGTGATGATGATTGTGGTGGTGGTAGTGGTGACGAGGGAGGGAGGGGACAGGATGGGGGAGGAGATAATGAGGATGAAGAGAATCATGCTCTTCGGGAAGTGCGATGATGACGATTCTGAGGGTTATTCTGGTGATCTTTATGGAGAGGATTAAGACGATTGCTGTGATGTTGCTGACGATGCAGCTGCTGCTGATGATAATGATGCTGCTGCTGATGACGATGGTGATGATGGTTTCGAAGTCTGGTGACGGGAATGTTTCGGGTGGTGATGACGATGATGATGATGATGATGATGATGATGATGGTGATGATGGCGCTGATGATGATGGTCGATGAGGGTGACAGCGAGTTGATGATTCTGATGATGATGTTGATGATGATGATTGTCAGTATTTTCATGACGGTGCGGTGATGAGGTCGTGATAATGATGGTGGTGTTGATGATGGCGATGCTTATGATGATGACTACGATAATGATTAAAGCGAGGACGTTGATGGAGGTTGTGACGGTGGTGGTGCAGGTGATGGCGGCTTCGACGATGACGGTCATGATGATGTTGCTGCTGCTGATGATGGTGGTGGTGGTTGTGATGGTGGTGGTCTTATTGTTGTTTTTGTTGTTGTTGCTGTTGTTGCTGCAGTTGCGGTTGCTGTCGCTGTTGTTGTTCTTGTTGTTGTTGTTGCTGCTGTTGTTGCTGTTGTTCCTGTTGTGGTTGTTGTTGCTGCTGCTGTTGTTGTTGGTGTTGTTGCTGCTGCTGTTGTTACTGCTGATGTTACTGTAGTGGTTGTTGTTGTTGTGGCAGTGGTAGTGGTAGTGGTAGTGGTAGTGGCTGTGGATGTGCTTGTGGTTGCGGTTGTTGTTGTTGTTGTTGGTGGTGGTGGTGTTGTTGTTGCTCTCTCATTCCTGAAGAATAATTTTTGTCAATACCCCCCGCCCGGTGCACATTGTATTTTTCGACTGAGGTACCCCTCCCGGGGCTCGCACCCTGTTTTATATTAGGGGAAGTTTTGAGGGTCAAACTGTGTCGTTCGCCCCCAGTTTACGACAACAACGGCTTCCGCTGGATACTTCCTCACAGTTTATTGAAGAATCGCGCTCTCGCTTGGGACTTCTGGCAATTTACTACCGAATCGCAGCTCCCGCCTGATACTTCCTGACAATTTATTGCAGAATCGTGTTCTCGCTTGGGACTTCCTCGCAACTTACCACCGAACCGCTTCGCTTGATATTTCCTTACAATTTATTCAGATGCCCGTTCTCGACACTCAGGAGTCGCGCTCCCGCTACATATTGCCTGGCGTTTCAAGCAGGACTCACGATTCAACGACCCGCCCGCTAGACCCGCCCGTCGGGGCCTGCCCGCCCGACCAGCCCGTTAATGACTGCAGTCGCCGCTCGCTGCCCTTCGCCCGCCTTCGATGCCCCTCGCTGCCCGTGCTGGTTCCGCGGTCGCCCTCGCTCGCTGCCCTTCGTGGCCCCGTCGCTCTCCTTTGTGGCCCCGCATTCTATGCCCTTCGTGGCCCCCCGCTCGCACGCGCCCGTCGTGGCCCCATGTGCATGCCCTTCGTAGCCCCGCTGTCGCCCTTCGTGGCCTCCTTGCTGCCCTTCGTGGCCCCTTTGCTGCCCTCAGTGGCCCCGCTGTCGCCCTTTGTGGCCCCGTATACGAATGCCCTTCGTGGCCCCCGCTCGCTCGCGCCCGTCGTGGCCCCATATGTTTGCCCTTCGTGGCCCTGCTGTCGCCCTTCGTGGCCCCCTCGCTGCCCCGGTGCTGCCCTCAGCGGCCCCGTCGCTGCCTTCTGTGGTCTCGGATTTAATGCCCTTCGTGGTCCACGTTGGCTTTTCTCACGATATACTTGGGAATCGCGCTATCACTCGAGACTTCCTCGCGATTCATGCAGGACCCACGCTTCAGCAACCCACCTGCTCGACCTCGTCGCCTGGGCCCGCCTTCCTGACCTGCCCGCTATGGGTTTGCCCACCCGATCTGCCCGTCTGGTTCTACCACTTGTTTTCTGCTCCTTGCCCCCCTCCTGCTATTTTCTCTCGTGCTCCATTCTTCTGCCTCCTCCTTCCACCTGTCCTGTCTTCCCTTGTTACTTAGGGGCTGCACTGAATACACGTGGCAGGTAAGGAAGATATACCCCCAAGGGGGTACGATCGAAGACGACGAGGGCGGGTACCGAGGGCTTGGGATATACGTATTGATTGGCACGTGAGCAGATAGGAGCGAGCAATCTCAAACTATAGGTATTGTTGTTATTGTTGTTATTGTTATTGCTGTTCGCGTTGTTGTTGCAGTTGTTGTTGTTGTTGTTGTTGTTGTTGTAGTTGTTGTTGTTGTTGTTGTTGTTGTTGTTGTTGTTGTTGTTCTTGTTGTTAAGTTGTCATTTCTAAAGAACAACTACTGTTGATCCCCCTCCAGTAAGCATTGTATTTTTCAATCCGAGTGTTGCTGCCAGTGCTCGCACACTGCTTTTACAGGGGAAAGCGTGGTGTCACCAAACTGCGCCCTTGCTTCCCGACTTACAACAATAACGGCTCCTGCCCGATAGTTCCTCACAGTTCATTTCAAGTACGCGCTCTCGTGCGGGACTTTCTCACAATTTATGCAGGATTCGCACTCTCGCGTGGGTCTTCCTCGCAATTTATTCAGGCGCCGCGCCTCCACCCTTCAGAATCACACTTGGGAATCGCGCTATCGCTCGAGACTTCCACGCGACTCATGCTCACGCTTCAGCAACCCGCCTGCTCGACCTGGTCGCCTGGGCCCGTCTTCCCCACCCGCCCATCAGGGTCTACCCGCCCGATTTGCGCGTCTGGTTCTGCCATGTGTTTTCTAGTCCTATATCCGTCCTTTTTCCCTTTTTTTTAGGGACTGCGCCAATTGCACGCGGCAGGTAGGGAAGATGTATCCCCAAGGGAGTTAGTATCGAAGTCGAGTAGGGCGGGTACCGAGGGTTCGAGATATACGTGTTGAATGGCACGCGAGCAGGTAAGAGCGAACAGTCTTAAAACGATCGTTGTTGTTGTGGTGGTGGTGGTGGTTGCTGCTGCTGGTGTTGCCGTTGTTGCCGTTGTTGCTGTTGTTGTTGTTGTTGTTGTTGTTGTTGTTGTCATTTCTAAAGAACAACTGCTGTTGATCCCGCTAACAGGTAACCATTGTATATTTTAGTTCAAGTGTTTCTCCCGGGGCTCGCACTTTTTTATCAAGGGGAAGTTAGGTGTCACCGAGCTGTGCCCCTGGCCCCCGCTTTACAACAACGACGGCTCCCGCCTGATGCTTCCTCACAAATTATTCCCGAATCGCGCTCTCGCGCGGGACTTTCTCACGATTCAGACAGGAGACGCGCTTTCGCGTGAGATTCTCGCAATTTATTCAGACGCCGCGCACTCGTCACTCGTGACTCACGCTCTCGCTGTGGATTTCCTCTCGACTTCTTGTTTACGCTTCGCGAGCCCCGCCAGCCGCCGCCCTAGCACGCTCGGCGTTTGACTCGTTTCGCGCGCCCGTGGACCAAAAAGAATCCCCGGGCATCCCGTGCAGAAGCCCTGCCCACGAGTGCTGACGGGAAATGGAAAGCAGAGACGCGTATAGTGAAACAGAGCGGTCAAAGAGAGGAGAGGGATGAACGTGTTGAGCCATGTTGGAGGCTATCTTGGAGCATCGGAGGCTATCATAGAGATACGAGGCTTTTTTTGGGGTCCTCTTGGGGCTCATTTGGGGCATCTTGGGGCCCTCTTGGGTCTCTTTGGGGGGTCTTGGGGTCCTCTTGGGGTCCTCTTGGGGCTCTTTTGGGGCGCCTTGGGGCCCTCATGGGGCCCTCTTGGGTCTCTCTTGGGGCTCTCTTGGGGCCCTCTTGGGAGCTATGGAGCGCCTCCTGGGGCCATCTTGGAGACCATCGGTCAAAGGAGGGGGGTCCTCGATTTTCGTCGCCCCTCTGGGGCCATCGAAATAGCCTCTTGGGGCGCTCTTGGGGTCCTCTTGGGGCGATCTTGGGCGACCTTGGGGCCGTCGGGGGGGCCTCGTGGGCCCTTCTTAGAGCTCTCTTGGGCCATCTTGGGGCCATCTTGAGGCCTCAAGAGCGCTTCGGAAGCGACAAGGCGAGAAGATCAAAATTAATAGGTGTTCCAAGGTTTTTGAAGAATCTTGGCTTCGTCTCCAAAAGCACTTGGATCCGTCTTGTGGCCTTCTTGGGGCCTCTTGGAGGCATGCTTTCAGCTATCTTGAGCCATATTGGGCTATCTTGAGCGATCTCGGAGGCCATCTTGGGCTCTCCGAGGCCCTCCCGGAGCCATCTTGGGCCATCTTTGACGCCCTGACGACTCGCGCCCCCCGCGTCCAGGTCCAGGGGAGGGGGCAGG